CCTAAACCCTAGCTAAACTCTGATTCCTTGCTAAACCCTAAACCCTCGCTAAGCCCTAAACTCTCGGCAAACCCTTAACACTAGTTACCATCTCAAGCCTCTAAAGCGGGGCCTAGCCAGTTTCCAAACCCTAAACCTGCCGTAAACCCGAAACCCTAGCCAAACCCTAGGGCTTTTTTCCCAAACCCTAAACCCTCAATAAACCCTAAAAAGCACAAGGCGGGCAAAGCGAGAACTTTTTCCCCACTATGCCACAAAACCTAGTAAAACCCTAAGCCCTTGCTAAACCCTAAACCCTAGCCAAACCATAGACCTTCGCTAAAGTCCAGACCCTCCCTTAATCCTTAACCGTCGCTAAACCCTAAACCCTCGCTAAACCCTAAACCCCCACCTGTACATCTCCGAAAGCAGCTATGAGTTCGATCTAGTGTTTAGGGTTTAGGATTTTGCTTTTGCAGCAAATAAAAAATCTTATTTTTAGTTGACAAGTTCCACTCAGTAAAGCCTTGCGGATTTAGGGTTTAGGGTTTAGGGTTTGAGGTTTGGGGATTAGGGTTTAAGGGCTTCCTGGGGTGGGGGCCCCAAACTGCATGCAGAGGGGCCCCCAATTTTTGTGGTTTTTCCTGCTGTTGTAGAAAGGGTTTAAGGGGGTTTCTTTTGTTTTTTGAATCATTTGCTTTTGCTGCAGATTCAGCAGCAGCAGCAGCAGCAAGGCTGCAGCAGCAGCAGCAGCAACAGCTGCGGCGACACCAACCCTGCAGCGGCAGCAGAAGCAGCAGCAGCAGCAGCGAAAAGACAGCAGCAAATGAACCTTCCAGAGACCCCAGGGGCTTTTCTCCCCACTGTGGAAGGCACAGCAGCAGCAGCTACAACAACAGCAGCAGCAACACCAGCAGCAGCAGCAGCAGCAGCAACACCCCCCATAGATTCGCCGCAGAGAGGGGCCCCCCTACCCTCTCTTGTGCCTCTTTCATATCCTGCTGCAGCAGAAGCAGCAGCATGGCCCCTTGGTAGCCCCTCGGGGGGCCCCGAAGGGGCCCCCCCGGGGGGGCCCCCTGGGGGCCCCCCGGGGGGCCCCCCTGAGGGCCCCCCTAACGGGGCCCCCCAGGGGCCTCCGGGGCCCCTGACGGGGGCTCCCGCCCTCGGCAGCTTGGGCGGTGCTGGAGCAGCAAATGGGGGCCTCCCAGGTTTTGCTGCTGCTGCTGCAGGAGGGGCCCCTGAGGCCTTTGGGGGCCCCACTCAGCCCTTCTACCCCGGGGGGGCCCTCTCAAGCCCTTTTCAGGGTATTGGGGGCCCCCTAGACCCAGAACTGTCAAACTATTTGGCTACGGGGGCCCCCATGGGGGCCCCTGG